AAAAAAAAAAAAAAAAAGATTTTCTATCTACAGAAAGGATGGGCAGACAGACCAAAGGTAAATGTAGACAGAGTGGTGAAAATGTAGATATAGAAGGGATGAGGGAGACAGGTACCAAGAATGACATCTGACATCCACACATGGGAAGATGTGACAGTACCATTTGTTTTGAAAGGAAGCACTGTAGAGGAGCAGTTTGATGGAGAAAATTTGGAGTTTCTTTTTGAGCAAGTTGAGTTTCAGATGACTTCATCATTTACAGGAGTTTCTTATGGTTCCTTGGCCTCCTAAGTAGCTCTAACTTAGAGACAACTATAGATGTCTTTGTGATGAAGAGATACCAGCTCTCATGTCTGGTAGTTTCCTGTCATCATATGAGGTGTAGCCTAACTCCCTGGTGGTTTTATTTGGCAGGAAAAGGTAAAAGGAGGAGATCATCTGATGAAGATGCTGCTGGGGAGCCCAAGGCCAAGAGACCAAAACATACCACAGATAACAAAGAGGTAATGGGGCTTTTTGATTAGGAGTCCTCACCCTCAAGCAGACCAGAAAGAACACCCAGATAACAAGCCCTGAGATAGTGTAACAGTTCCTGAGCTAAGAACCAGTAGGATTATGTACTTCATTCAGTATTGGCCAGGAATAGACCAATGAAGAGTGAACTCCATTGCTATCTCCCTTCTGAGGCCTAACTTCATTCATTGAGCTCAAGCACCATTATACACCCCTACTCCATTACCTCACTGCATAAGGTAACAGCTAATGCAAAGAGTGGCCCAGAAAAAGTTTTTAAGTTGTTCAGGCTGGAACCTATAGATTTATGGAGGCCAAAATGAGAAATGAGTCTAAAAAGATATGTATAAACCTAACCTATATTCAGATGCCTTTTCAGCATCCCTATAAAGATGTCTAATAAGCCTTTAAAAATTAGTTAGCAAAAAAATAATAATAATTTATTTCCCCTTCCCAAAATCTGCTCCTTCACAAATTTCTTTATCTTATTAAAAGACAAAACCAATCTAGGCCAGTAATTTTCAACTGGTGTGCTATGAGAGGATCTTAGGTGTGCCAAGAAAATTTTTTAAATATCATTAATTAAATTACTTTTGAAAGCAGTTCAAAGCAAAGTAATTATATTCGTTTTTTACTTTTTTTTTTTTTTTTGCAGTTTTTGGCCAGGGCAGGGTTTGAACCCACCACCTCCAACATATGGGGGTGGTGCCCTACTCCTTTGAGCCACAGGCACCACACCGTTTTTTACTCTTTTTTTTTGGAACATAATTTAAGTGTGGTGCAGAAGTTTAACCATAGATTCAAGTGTGCCATGAGAAAAAAAAAGATTGAAAAACACTGATCTAGGCCAACCACCTAGCACATCACAATTTGCTTACACTAAAATCTATGCTGTCACGTTAAAACCTGTCAGCCCAATTTCCAAAATTAACTCAAATCCAACCATTTCTCACCTTTTCCACTGCTGTTCCCTTAGTCCAGTAGTTCTCAACCTTCCTAATGCCACGCCCCTTTAATATAGTTCCTGTGGGTTGCAATCCACAGACTGAGAACTGCTGCCCTAGTCCAAGATACTGTCATCTCTTAACAACACTTTGTCAACACTCCTTGATGGTCTTCCTATCTGTATTCTTACCCTACATAGCAGCCAAAATGACTTTCTAAATTCAACACAAAACATGTTACTGATTAAACTCCTTTAATAGCTTCCCATTGCTCTTAGGAGAAATCCAAGCAGTGCACTATTAAGCCTCACATGATCTGCTGGAGACAACTCTTTCCAGTCTTCTTATGCTCACAGTGTTCCATCTATGCGCTCTCTTTCTGTCTCTCACACATGTCAAATTCTTTTCAGTTTTCAGGCTTTTGCTGCTACTATTCCTTCTGCTTAAAATGTTTTTCCCTAGATCTTCCTGTAGCTGCCTATTTTATCATCCCTGTATCAACTCAAATGTTATTTTCTTAAAGCTCAAGCACCATTACACACCCCTACTCCAGACTTTACCACATTTTCCCATTTCATCTTCTTCATAGCATTTATTATATATAGCTGAAATTATTTACTATTTGGGTATATGTTTGTATTTTTGCTCCCAGAATTTAAACTCCTTGAGGGCAGTATCTTAGCTTGTCCCTAGGACCTGGAATACTAGCAAGATCCCAAAAAATTTTGATTAAGAGGTTTGAACTCTATCCTGAAGGCAAGAGGGAGCCATCAATGGATTTTAAGCAGAAGAATAAAGGGGGTTTATATTTTAGAAACATTACTACAGCACAACAGTTTATAAATTGTACTATTCCACGGATGGATTTCGGAGAGCTTACTTGTACTCAAGCTTATGTGCACTTTTCAGTGGAGCATTCCATAGCTTCCAACAAATTTTTCAAGGGAACTGTGACCCCAAAAGAATTTTTTGTTGTTGTTGTTTGGGTTTTCTTTGATATAGGGTCTCACTTTGTTGCCCAGGCTAGAGTGCTTTGGCATCAGCCTAGAGCAAAGCAACCTCAAACTCCTGGGTTAAAGTGATCCTCCTGCTCAATCTCCCAAGTAGCTGGGAGTACAGGGACCCAGCGAAACACTCAGCTAATTTTTTCTATTTTTAGTAGAGATAGGGTCTTGCCTTCGCTCAGGCTTGTCTCAAAGTCTTGAGCTCTAGGGATCTTCCCACTCAGCTTCCTAGAGTGTTAGATGTGCCCAGCCTCAAAAACATTTTTTTTTAAAGGCACTACTATATGAGAAATAGAATGATGCAAAAGCAACAAGATTGGAAGCATAAAACCTACTTGCTCTTTTTATAGTGTTTACTTTGTTTAAAAAAAAAAAAGCGAAAACCATTTACGAGACTATTACAGTAATCCAGTTAAACCGTGATTCAAGCTTTCATATAAGATGACAGGAAAGAGAAAAGAAGACATCTGATAAATGTGAATAATAGATAGAACAAGGTAGTGGGATGGTAGGTGATGGAGAACAAGGAGTTAGAAATAATACCCGTCTATAAATTAAGAAATTGGGTTGGGTAGGCAGGATGCAGTGGCTAACGCCTATAATCCTAACGCTCTGGGAGGCTGAGGCGGGTGGTTTGCTTGAGCTCAAGAGACCAGCCTGAGCAAGAGTGAGACCCTACCTCTAAAAAGAAAAAAATAGCCAGGCATATAGCAGGTGCCTGTAGTCCCAGCTACTCCGGAGACTGAGGCCAGAGGATCACTTGAGTCCACGAGTTTGAGGTTGTTGTGAGCTATAATGCTACAGCACTCTACCCAAGGCAACAGAGTGAGACTCTGTCCCCCCACCAAAAAAAAGGAAAAAGGAAATTGGATTGGTTATAATGTGATTACCAGAAAACTTACAAAACAGAATAGATTGAGCAACAGGTCAAAGTGTCAGGTAAGCAGTCTAATATCCAGAGCTTAGTAGAGAGTTCTGGAACTAGTAGATTTGGAAATGCATCAATAGTTGAAGAGCAGATAAAATTACCCAAGTACAGCATGTAGAATAGAAAGAGGAGGGCTATAGACAGAACCCTAAGAACACCAGTATTTATAGGTAGGATCTGAAGGAGGAATCTGTGGAAACTGAGGAAGGGTAGCAGGGAAGTTTAGAAGTAGCACCAAGAAAAAAGAAATGTCATAAAATCCAAGGAGCCACATGTGTTTTAAGAGAAAAAGAAAAAGTCCATCTGTGTCGTATGCTTCTAAGAGGTCAAATAAGATCAGAACTGACAGGTATTCTTTGAACTTACAACAAGTCCTCAAGGACAATGTTGGAATTTCATTGGAATGCCAGTGACGACTGACATGTCAGTACAGTGGTAGAAATGGTTGGCAGAATTTTTCTGTTGTGATAAAAGTGAGTGACAATAGAAATTTTTAATAAAGAAAGAAATGTAATGGTGATGTGTGAATAAAGGTAAATAAGTTCTGATCTAATGACTTCTATTTTCTCTGTGAAATCAAAGGCAAAGGCTGAAATCAAAGGTCATCTGCTGAAAGTAAGAAGGGAGGAGTCGGTGGGAAATTTTAGCTTAAAGAACTTGTTTTGGTGGCACCTGTAGCTCAGTTGGTAGGACAACAGCCATATACATGAAGACTGGCGAGTTTGAACCCAGCCCAGGCCAGCTAAAACAACAATGACAACCACAAAAAAAAAAAAAAACAGCCAGGCATTGTGGCAGGCGCCTGGGTCCAGTACTTACGAGGCTGAGGCAAGAGAATCGCTTAAGCCTAACTGTTAGATGTTGCTGTGAGCTGTGATGTCACAGCACTCTACCCAGGGCGACAGCTTGAGACTGTGTCTCAAAAAGAACCTGTTTAAAGTTGAGGTTTGTCAAGACACTAATCCGCATGATTGATTTTTCTCCAACCAATTTAGTTGCTACTGTGTAAAAAAGGAAATAGTAAACAGTTAAAAGCCAAACATCTCACCAGAAAGCTGTCTACTGTATCTAAATGTTTCTGTCTTTCTGTCTTTCTTTCTTTTTTTTTTTTTTTTTTGAGACAGAGTCTCATTATGTTGCCCTTGGTAGAGTGCTATAACATCACAGCCCACAGCAACCTACAACTCCTGGGCTTAAGCAATTCTCTTGCCTCGACCTCCCAAGTAGCTGGGACTACAGGTGCCCACCACAACGCCTGGCTATTTTTTTTGTTGTTGCAGTTGATTAGTTGGCCCAGGCCAGGTTCGAACCTGCCACCCTAAATGTATGTGGCTGGCACGGTAACCACTGTGCTACAGGCGCCAAGCCTAAATATTTCTAAGCCTAAATATTTCTAAGCCTAAATATTTCTCTCCCTCAGCCCATTCCAGATGATGGGATTTATTGGCAGGCCAACCTTGACAGATTCCACCAACACTTCCGTGACCAAGCCATTGTGAGTGCAGTTGCCAACAGGATGGACCAGGTAATGTCTGAGTGAGTCTTTCAGTGGTCTTCAGGGATGTTCATTTATTTGTTAGATATGGTCATTGGCATATAGCCAGAGCAGGGGTGCAGGGGCAGCAAGGCGATTTCTGAATTACAGTTTACTTTTTAAAACCAGACAAGCAGTGAGATCGTACGGACCATGCTTCGGATGAGTGAGATTACTACTCCCTCTGGTGCCCCTTTCACCCAGCCATTGTCTTCCAATGAGGTGAGTTTAATGTTCTTGTGCTAGTTTTCTGACAGACTCTTGGGTTTATAACAATTACTATACATAGAGCCTAGGGTTAAGTTGAGGTCTGAGCCTGAACTTTTGGGCCCAGCATAGTGACTCACAACTGTAATCCTAGGACTCTGGGAGGCCAAGCTGGGAGGATGACTTGAGTTCAGGAGCTTAAGACCAGTCTGAGCAAGAATGAGACCCCATCTCTACTTAAAAAATAGAAAAAAAAAAAAATAGCTGAGTGATGTGGCAAGGGCCTGTAGTCCCAGCTACTTGGGAGCCTAAAGTAGGAAGATCACTTGAATCCAGGAGTTTGAGGTTTCTGTGAGCTATGATGCCACAGCACTCTACCAAGGGTGACAGAACAAGACTGTCTCAAAGAAAAAAAAACTGTTCAAAATTTTTTTTAACTTCCTAAACTTTTTTATTAAGAAATAAGAAACATACTGGGGCAGCGCCTGTGGCTCAGTGAGTAGGGTGCTGGCCCCATATACTGAGGGTGGTGGGTTCAAACCTGGCCCCGGCCAAACTGCAACAACAACAACAACAGAAAAAAAAAATAGCCAGGCCTTGTGGTGGGCGCCTGTAGTCCCAGCTACTCAGAAAGCTGAAGCAAGAGAATTACCTAAGCCCAAGAGCTGGAGGTTGCTGTGAGCTGTGATGCCACAGCACTCTACCAAGGGCAACAAAATAAAACTCTGTCTCTAAGAAAAAAAGAAAGAAAGAAAGAAGACACATACTGTATAGCCTAGGGCCCAGGGCTGCACAGGGTCACAATTGTCAGTATCAACAGTCCTCCACCTCTGAATCTTATTTCACTGAAAGGTCTTCATTAGCAGTAACATAGAGATTGTCATCACCTATAATAACAATGCCTTCTCTGGCATACCTCTTAAAAGACCTACCTGAGGCTGTTGTACAGTTAACTTTTTTTTGTTGTTTAATATACTTTCTTAAAAAAATTTTTTTGTTTTCTCTTTTTTTTGAGATAGAGTCTTACTTTGTCACCCTGGGTAGAGTGCTGTGGCATCACAGCAACCTCAAATTATTGGGCTCAGGTGATCCTCTTGCCTCAGTTTTTCATTTTAGTTAGAGACAGGGTCTCACTGTTGCTCAGGCTGGTCTTGAACTCAAGAGCTCAGGCAATCCACCCACCTCGGCCTCCCAGAGTACTAGGGTTCCAGCCATGAGCCACTACTCCCATTCACTCTAAAATATTGATAAAAAAATATAGTATTGTAAATACATAAACAAGTAGCTTATTTTATCAGGCATTATGTACTGTTCATAATTTTATATGATACAGATATATAGATATACAGATTTTTTTTTTTTTTTTTTTTTTTTTGAGATAGAGTCTCATTCTGTTGCCCAGGCTATTGTACTATGGCATCAGCCTATCTCACAACAACCTCAACTCCTGGGTTTAAGAGATCTTCCTGCCTCAGCAGCACCTGTGGCTCAGTGAATAGGGCGCCAGCCCCATATACCAAGGGTGGCAGTTTTGAACCTGGCCCCAGCCAAACTGCAACAAAAAATATCCGGGCGTTGTGGCAGGTTCCTGTAGTCCCAGATACTTGGGAGGCTGAGGCAAGAGAATTGCTTGAGCCCAAGAGTTTGAGGTTGTTGTGAGCTATGATGCCACAGCACTCTACCCAGGGTGATAGCTTGAAATGCTGTCTCAAAAAAAGCTCAGCACTCAGCACCTGTAGCTTAGTGGCTAGGGTGCCGGCCACATACACCAAGGATGGCAGATGCTGCCAAACAACAATGATAACTATGAAAAAAATAGCTGGGCACTATGGCGGGCTCCTATAGTCCCAGCTACTGGGAGGCTGAGGCAAGAAAATCAGTTAAGCCCAAGAGTTTGAGGTTGCTATGAGCTGTGACACCATGGCACTCTACCAGGGGCAACATAATGAAACTCTGTCTCAAAAAAAGAAAGAGAGACCCCACCCCACCCCTGCCCATCTCTTTAACGTTAAGAATTAGACCAGGCATGTTGGCTTATGCCTGTAATCCTAGCACTCTGGGAAGCTGAGGCAGGTGGATCACCTGAGCTCAAGAGTTCAAGACCAGCCTGAGCAAGAGCAAGACCAAAATAGGAAAAAAAACTGAGCAAGAGAATCTCTTGGGCCCAAGAGTTTGAGGTTGCTGTGAACACTCTACCCAGGGTAACAGATTGAGACTGTGTCTCAAAAAAAAAAAGAAATGGGGCTCGGTGCCTATAGCTCAACCGGCTAAGGCGCCAGCCACGTACACCTAAGGTGGCGGGTTCGAATCCCCAGCCCGGACCCGCCAAACAACAATGACGGCTGCAACCAAAAAATAGCCAGGCGTTGTGGCGGGTGCCTGTGGTCCCAGCTACTTGGGAGGAGGAGGCAGGAGACTCGCTTGAGCCCAGGAGTTGGAGGTTGCTGTGAGCTGTAATGCCACGGCACTCTACCCAGGGGGACAGCTTGAGGCTCTGTCTCAAAAAAAAAAAAAAATGTTGCTTTGGTCTACCAGCGGGATTTGAGGACACAATGTCTCACAGGAAGTTCTCAGCTCCCAGACATGGATCTCTGGGCTTCTTGCCTCGAAAGCACAGCAGCAGGCATCGTGGGAAGGTGAAGAGCTTCCCTAAGGATGATCCATCTAAGCCTGTCCACCTCACAGCCTTCCTGGGTTGGCATGACCCACATCGTGCGGGAAGTCAATAGGCCAGGATCCAAGGTGAACAAGAAGGAAGTTGTAGACGCTGTGACCATTGTAGAGACACCGCCCATGGTGGTTGTAGGCATTGTGGGCTACGTGGAAATTCCTCGAGGCCTCCGGACTTTCAAGACCATCTTTGCTGAGCATATCAGTGATGAGTGCAAAAGGTGCTTCTATAAGAACTGGCGTAAATCTAAGAAGGCCTTCACCAAATACTGCAAGAAATGGCAGGATGATGATGGCAAGAAACAGCTGGAGAAGGATTTCAACAGCATGAAGAAGTACTGCCAAGTCATCCGCATCATTGCCCACACCCAGATGCGCCTGCTTCCTCTACGCCAGAAGAAAGCCCATCTGATGGAGATCCAGGTGAATGGAGGCACTGTGGCCGAGAAGCTAGACTGGGCCCGGAACAGGCTGGAGCAGCAGGTCCCTGTGAACCAAGTGTTTGGGCAGGATGAGATGATGGTGATGGATGTCATTGGGGTGACCAAGGGCAAAGGCTACAAAGAGGTGACCAGTCGTTGGCATACCAAGAAGCTGCCACGCAAGACCCACCGAGGACTGCGTAAGGTTGCCTGTATTGGGGCATGGCATCCTGCCCGGGTGGCTTTCTCTGTGGCACGGGCTGGGCAGAAAGGCTACCATCACCGCACAGAAATCAATAAAAAAAATTAAAAGATTGGCCAAGGCTACCTTATCAAGGATGGCAAACTGATCAAGAACAATGCCTCTACTGATTATGACCTGTCTGACAAGAGCATTAATCCTTTGGGTGGTTTTGTCCACTATGGTGAAGTGACCAATGATTTTGTCATGCTGAAAGGCTGTGTGGTGGGAACCAAGAAGCGAGTCATCACCCTCCGCAAGTCCTTATTGGTACAGACGAAACGGCGGGCTCTGGAGAAGATTGACCTTAAGTTCATTGACACCACCTCCAAGTTTGGCCATGGCCGCTTCCAGACTATGAAGGAGAAGAAAGCATTCATAGGACCACTTAAGAAAGACCGAATTGCTAAGGAGGAAGGAGCTTAATATCAGGAACAGATTGTACAGCTGGTGGGATCCCAATAAAAGTTGTTTTCTAATGACAAAAAAAAAAAAAATGTTGCTTTGAATGTTTTGGGACATTTTTATACTTGTGATACCTGAAATTAAAACATCTTTTTTTTTTTTTTTGAGACAGAGTCTCATTATGTTGCCCTCGGTAGAGTGCCGTGGCGTCACAGCTCACAGCAACCTCAAACTCTTGGGCTCAAGTGATTTTCTTGTCTCAGCCTCCCAAGTAGCTGGGACTACAGGGGCCTGCCACAACCCCTAGCTATTTTTTTGGTTATTACAGTTGTCATTGTTGTTTAGCTGGCCCAGGCCAGGCTCGAACTCACCAGCCTTGGTATATGTGTTTAGTGCTGTAACCACTGCACTAAAGGCACCAAGCCAAAACACCTTTATTTTTGTAATGTTAGCAGTTGTAAGTTCCCAAACCCACTTTCAGTGTCTTTTTTGCTCCATAGATCTTCAGATCCCTACCTGTTGGCTATAACATCTCTAAGCAAGTTCTGGATCAGTATCTTACTCTGCTGGCAGATGATCCAGTAAGTTTATTTTTGCTTTCCTTTTTTCTTTAGTCTACTCTCTTTACAATTTATTTCCTCCACTGATGCCTATTATCATCTCCTATAGCCTTATTCTCTGCCTAGCCAGCCAAAAAATTTATGTACCATCATTTGATAGGAAGGCTACCTGCTACAGACTCCTGGCCAGATTTGCTCCATTGGGAATAGAATCACTGGACTTTCCATTCAGCTAATACACACTCTTTCTCTCTTGTTTCTAATAGCTAGAGTTTGTTGGAAAGTCTGGCGACAGTGGTGGAGGAATGTATGTCATCAGTATCCTTACTAGCTGTTTCCTTATAGTCAGGCAGCCTGAACTATGAAGCAGAATGATGACTTATGAAAGAAAGATTTGGTAATGTTTATTATACTAAATAAGTCAGAAAATTGAAGTCATTTGTTATGAATTTGTCTATGAATTTTCAATGAACTACAGTGATGATAAAGAAGTACAAAGTCCTCACTAGTATAGTGGTGAGTATCAAAAAAATGTTTCTTTTTTAAAGTAAAAAAATATTTTTAATTAACTTTAGCAAAACCCTTACTCAAACACCCTCATTTATTAAGTTTTTGAAACAGTTATATGCCATAAATGAAACCAATGTGAAAAATAAAATAGCATTTAATTTTTAATTATAAATTAGAGATTTAGGATAAAAGTAAAATCACAGTAACCAGGCCAAAACATTAATGAATAACCTTAATTCTCTACACAAAGACCTCCATAAGGCATTAGCATCCCTAGCCACAGCCACCCTGGAGTCCGTTGTACAGGAGAGGTAAGGAGGTCACTCTAATTAGGATTGGGGTCAGGCAATTCCTATCTATACTCCATTTGAGCAAGTAATTTGATTATTATGTAAGCAATCAGTATAGCCATACCTTGGCACACTTTGCCCCATTTTTCACTGGACTGCTGTTTAATTCTCAATGATACAGATCAACCAGTCTCCCTAAAGGCTTTGCTTACAAATGCAGGACCTGTGGCACTCAAATGAGTCAGCAGTTGGTACCATAACCAACCTGTAGAGCTATGAAAGAATTTTCTGATCACTGTTCTCTCTGGTCCTGGCTCTACTGATGCAACAACCTCCATCTGTAACTAGGAGGTAAATCGAATCATCTATGTTGTCATGACATTTGCTTTCTTCATTCCTTTCTAGATTTGGGTCTCGCTGTGCCAGAATATTTCGTCTAGTTTTACAAAAGAAACACCTAGAGCAGAAGCAGGTAGAAGATTTTGCAATGATTCCTGCAAAGGAGGCAAAGGATATGCTATATAAGATGCTCTCAGAAAATTTCATATCACTCCAGGTAACCAGTGGTGTAATAATTGCCAACCAGCAAAGCTGACCTAGGGTGATAAAAACTGATGAGTCAAACATCCTGAACCCTAAGCAAACTCTATATCCAGCTCTGAGATAGAAAGAAATGACTCACAAACACTTGAAGGATAATGTGGGGCTTTAATTAGCCTCATAAGAAAGAAGTACAGCCAAGACATCACTCCAGAGCCACCCTATCCCTTTTTTCCTCTGTCATTTTTATCTTGCCTTTCCTCAAGCCTTACTTGTGTAATAGATTAAATCTACCAACAGCTTCTCTTGAGTCCTTGCAAAGCCATGTAGTAGACCCTACAACAAAGAAAATGGAGTGGATTTTGGAGTCAGATCACAGCTCTGCATTACCCAGTTACATTGAACAAGATACCAACCATCATTTTTCCCATCTATAAAATGGTGGTAGATGGTAATATAAGAATAATACAGTTTTGTTTTTTGTTTTTGTTTTTTGAGACAGAGTCTCACTATGTCGCCCTTGGTAGAGTGCCATGTTGCCCATCACAGCTCACAGCAACCTCAAACTCTTAAGTTAGACTATAGGCACCTACCACAGCGTCTGGCTATTTTTGTTGTTGTTGTCATTGTTTAACAGGCCCTGGCCGGGTTTGCACACACCAACCCCAGTGCATGTGTCCAGCACCTTAACTACTGAGCTAGGGCACTGAGCCAAGAATAGTACAGTTTGTCATAAAGAAATTCCCTTTCCTGGGCGGGGTCTGTGGCTCAATGGGTAGGGCGCCAGCCCCATATGCCAAGGGTGGCAGGTTCGAACCTGGCCCCAACCAAACTGCAACAAAAAAATATAGCTGGACGTTGTGGCGGGTGCCTGTAGTCCCAGCTACTCGGGAGGCTGAGGCAAGAGAATCACCTAGGCCTAGGAGTTGGAGGTTGCTGTGGGCTGTGTGACACCGTGGCACTCTACCGAGATTAATAAAGTAAGACTGTCTCTACCAAAAAAAAAGAAAGAAAGAAATTCCCTTTCCTGGTAGTGCCTATAGCTCAGTGGGTAGGGTGCTGGCTACATGCACCAGGGCTAGTAGGTTCGAACCCATCCCTGGCCTGTTAAAACAGAAAAATAGCTGGGCATTGTGACTTGGGCATTTGCAGTCTCAGCTGCTTGGGAGGCTGAGGCAAGAGAATTGCTTAAGCCCAAGAGTTAGAGGTTGCTGTGAGCTGTGATACCATGACACTCTACCCAGGGCAACAAAGTGAGACTCTGTCTCAATTAAAAAAAGAAAAAAAAAATTCCCTTTCCTTTCTTCCCTGATGTTTATCATCAAATGGAAAGAATAGGACAGCCTAACTCACCATTTGGCTGATTGTGACATAAACACAGATAGTGAATGACTAAAGAAGAGGAAAGTGTAAGTAAAAGAGAAGGCTGAGTTGCTCCAGATGGAATGGGTGTTTATTTTGCCAGGTCTGAAGAACAAAATAATGTCTCTTATTTTTCTTTCTATGGACAAATAGGAAATTCCCAAAACACCAGACCATGCTCCATCTAGGACTTTCTATTTATATACTGTGAACATCCTGTCAGCTGCCCGCATGTTGTTGCACAGGTGCTACAAGGTAACGCAGTCTGGACCACAGACAAATCTCATCCTTTACCCTGCCCCCTTTACCCATTTTACCTGAGCTATGTGAATAATACTATGACTTGTTATCGTTCTTCTCTTTCCTCAGAGCATAGCCAACTTGATAGAAAGGAGGCAATTCGAAACCAAAGAGAACAAGTGAGTAGCATTTTCAATTGAGTTATTTACATTTTTCAAGGTCATAGGCCTGAAGGGAAATTTTCCATAGGAGTAGAAACCAATAGAGATAACAACCAGTCTAGTTATGTTGAATCATTGGCCTACATTAGAATAAATCATGCAGTAGTCTATACTTTTCTAACATACCCTCGATGAAATAACTTTTAGATTAAACCTATGAGGAATGCATAAATGCAACAAACTTTAAATGAGAGGCAGTAAGAGTTTCAGGAGTGACGTTACATTTCCAAAGAAGTTCATAGAAAACATGATTTAAAAGGTAACATTATTATCACCTAACTCCAGTAAGATTAGCTCATATCACAAAATCCCAAAACCAGAGATGCTGGCGTGGATGTGGAGAAAAGGGAACACTTCTACAGTGCTAGTGGGAATGCAAACTAATACGTTCCTTTTGGGAAGATGTCTGGAGAACACTTAGAGAACTAAAAATAGACATGCCATTTGATCCTGCAATTCCTTTATTAGGTATATATCCAGAAGACCAAAAATCATATTACAACAAAGATACTTGTATCAAAATGTTTATTGCAGCCCAATTCATGATTGCTAGGGCATGGAAGAAGCCCAAGTGCCCATCAATCCACGAATGGATCAATAAACTGTGGTATATGTACACCATGGAATACTATGCAGCCATAAAGAAAGATGGAGACTTTACGTCCTCCATGTTTACATGGATGGAGCTGGAAAATGTTCTTCTTGGCAAAGTATCTCAAGAATGGAGGAAAAAGTATCCAATGTACACCGCCCTATTATGAAACTAATTTATAGCTTTCATGTGAAAGCTATAACCTAATTATAGCCTAAGAATATGTGGAGGGGCGGCTTAGCCCCTGTGACTCAAGTGACTAAGGCTCCAGCCACATACACCTAAGGTGGGGGGGGTTGGAATCCAACCCAGGCCCGCCAAACAATGATGGCTACAACCAAAAAATAGCCAGGCGTTGTGGTTACTTGGGAGGCAGAGACAGGAGACTCGCTTGAGCCCAGGAGTTGGAGGTTGCTGTGAGCTGTGATGCCGCAGCACTCTACCCAGGGGGACAGCTTGAGGCTCTGTCTCAAAAAAAAAAAAAAAATGGGGAGAGGGGAGGAGAGGGATGGGGGTGGATGGGAGGAGGGAGGGTGATTCGAGGGATCTTCTCTATGGTTTATCTTACAAGGGTACAAGTGAATCTTTCTAAAAGTGGAATATAAATGTCTTGACACAATAACTAGGAAAATGACATGACTATGTTAACCAGTTTGATGAAAGTATTTCAGATTGTATTTGAAAACACCACACTGTACCCCATGATTGCATTAATATACACAGCTATCATTTAATAAAAAAAAAAGGTAACATTACCAACTTTGACTAGAATAGGGTAAAAGGAGGCATTGTACCTAAGAGATACATGAACAGTAAGAGAATCTCCGAGGTTAGGGAACATGCCTCAGAGTTGTGTTTGTCTGACAGGCGTCTACTAGAAAAGTCTCAGAGGGTAGAAGCCATCATTGCATCTATGCAGGCCACAGGTGCAGAAGAGGCACAGCTACAAGAAATAGAGGAGATGATCACAGCTCCTGAACGTCAGCAGCTAGAGACCCTGAAACGTAATGTCAACAAGTAAGCATCATAAACTTCAGACCCATATTTCAAAATACCTTCCAGATAAATTCATCTCAATATCCTGCAACCCCTCCAGCTTAACATGAGCAAACCTAAACTCACTGTCTTCTTCTTCAGCTCAGTGAACAGAATTTAATCCACTCATATTTTTTCTAAACTAGCAATTCTGAAGACTTTCTCAGCTCCTTCTTTACCATACACAGTCTCATTCACCAAGAACTGTTAATTTTTTTTTAAGGGACCAAACCTTAATTCTGTAGTAGATTAAATTTGTCATCAGAATCTATCAGGTCCCAACAGAGCCATCTAGTAGGCCTTAAGAAGAAGATGAAATGGATTTTGTTGCCTCACTTGGTTGCCCAGGCAGGCTTCAACGTCATGGGCTTCAGAGTTTCTGCTGCCGCAGCCTCCCAAATAGCTGGGACTCCAGGCATGAGCAGCTGCACCCAGCTTAGTTTTGCCTCAGTCATGTGTCTCACATCTGGCCTTTCATCTTGGTGCACAGAGAGCTCTTCATCACCTCTCTCCTAGACCTTCGCAAACCGTTTCTCAACAATGCTCTCAAAGTTATTATTTTGAAAATGATTGATATCACTCTCTTACTTTAGGTGATTTACTGACTCTTTGTATTTACAGTATAAGGACACAGTCCTTGAGGTGACATATAGTGCCTTTCACAATTTCATAACACCCTATCTGCATTTTCATTTCCTTTCATTCCTCACCACTCACCTTAAGAGGGATTGCATTGAATCTGTAGATTGCTTTGGGGAATACTACAATCTTAACAATATTAAATGTTCCAACCCTTGAATACGGGAGGTATTTCCATATACTTAGGTCTTCTTTAATTTCTTTCAGCTATGTTTGAGAGCGGCAGTTAGGCAGTGTACAAATTACCGTTTCATTAAAAGTATTCTGAGTATTTAATTTTGATGCTAGTTTAGTGCTTTCTTATTTTATTTTGGATCATTCATTACTAGTGTAGAGAGGAAGAACCAATTTTTGTATTGTGATTTTGTACTGTGCAACTTTACCAAATCATTTATTACTTTTAGTAATTTTTTGCAGCTTCTTTGAGATTTTCTCTGTATAGCAGTGGTTCTCAACCTTTCTAATTGCCGCATTTTTACAAATGGAACCAAGGAGTCGCAACACACCGATTGAGAATTGCTGCTATATAGGATCCTGTTATCTATCTGAATAGAGATTTTTTACTTCTTCCTTTTTAATCTGCATGCCTTTTATTTCTTTTTCATGTCTAATTGTCCTAGTTAGACCCTCTTTTAAAAAATTGAATGGAAGTACAAGAGCAGTCATCCTTGTCTTGCTCCTGATCTTAGGGGGAAAGGTTTTAGTATTTCATCATTACATGTGATGTTAGCTATGAGTTTTTCCTTGAAGGCTTGTACAGGTTGGAAAATTTCTCTTCTCTTCCTAATCGCAGCTCATTTTAAGCTTCAGCCACTCTCAGCTTCTTGCTATTTTAAAACACACTAAGTCCTTTTATAACTGTTCCTTTATATATGCTATTCTTTCTCCTGGCTGCAACTTAGACTAACACGCTCTAACACAGTGGTTCTTAACTTCTCCCATCTTTGCATCTTCAGCAGTTTCCATAGTGCCTAGCACCTAAAAGATGCTTAGTAATTGGAAGAATTAATTTTGTCTCCTGCTTTTCACCTATTACTCTCAAGAGCAACTAACCAATTCTCAATGACCATACCCACCTCAGCCTCTAATCTTAAATATGCTAATGAACATTCAGTCTAGGCAAATGCTTTCACTTTTTCACTTAGGTTGGATGCCAGTGAGATCCAGGTGGATGAAACCATCTTCCTGCTGGAGTCATACATAGAGAGCACCATGAAGAGACTATGACATAGAAGAGTCATTTTCCTCAAAAGATCTAGGGAGGTGGAAAGAAAAATAAAGGAAGTGGCTGGGTGCATTATTTGCAGTGGGATAAGTTGTAGATCCTTGTGTGAAACTCCCTCTCTATCCCTACTGGTAAGGACACATCTGAAAGAGTATGCTGATACTTAGACCCATCACTATATTCTCCCTTCATCAGATCTTGACAGTAGAAAAAAATCCTTACATCAACTAGATAAATCATCTATCAGATGCATCAATTCCCATTAAAAAATCAGCCAAGCTTATGTTTGAACATCCCTGGCAGAAGAAAACTTCTTCCTCAAAAGTCTACAGCTGTTCTTTATTTTATTGAGCTATAATTTTTAACACATACATTATCTAGGGCAGTGATTTTCAACTGATGTGCCACAAAAAATTTTAAAGATCACTAATTAAATTTTTGAAAGAAATTCAAAGCACAGTAAGTATATTCTTTTTTTTAACTCTTTTTTTTTTTTTTTTTGGATCAACATAATTTAAGTGAGCCACAGAAGTTTAACTATAGGTTCAAGTATGCCATGAGATAAAAAGGTTGAAAAACCCTGGTCTAGGGAATGTGAAAGACTATCATGGGGGAGTGATTGGGGTGAGCTATTTTCAGGGGTAGCAAGTGGACTGGCCAAAGCAGTCACCCTAGAATCCACATTTGCCAGCGCCAAGCTTCTAGCATGTATAAAACTATGTATGGAGAACACATAGCACAATGTCTGGCATATGGTAAGCACACAATAAACGATTATTTTTCTCTTCTCCATGGTTCCTTAAAAGTGGTAACTCTAAATTCTTCCTTCCAGTATCATGGATTAAATGTATCCTAGCAGTTTCAATTCATTTAAAGCAGGTATACCTACCAATATTTGTTCTAATTCTTTAAACATTTCAGTGCTAATTAATTGCCAGCCACTATTCTAAACACAATATACAAAGATGAGTAAGACACCATCTCTGCCTTCAAGCCACTCACTATAATTTACTGAGCACTATTATGTGACAAGTACTGGGCCAGGATACAGAAAGGAATAAGCCTTGAGCATACAAGCCTATTTGGAGGAGACAACTAAGTAAGAGGAAGTGTTGGGGAGCTACAGTGGAAGAGTAAGTACTATGTACAGAGAGGCAAGAAAGGATAAAGGTCAGGCAGCAAAGGGAGCACAGAGGTAGTAACAATCTGTAGTTTGAAAGGTGAGGGGTTTTTATTTGCAAACTATCCATCTAACACAGTGGTTCTCAACCTTCCTAATGTCGCAATGTATTTTCCTTGTTAAAAAGGAGTTGCGACCCACAGGTTGAGAACCACGGAACAAGTTATTAACTAGAATATACAGAGTGTCCATAAAGTTCGTGTGCAATTTACTATGTTAAACTATTTTAAATTTCGCATGAACTTTATGTCCACCCTGTATAAGGAGTCCAACTCGATAGCAAAATACCTGATTTTTATTTTTATTTTTTGAGACAGTCTTAGTATGTCACCCTTGGTAGACTAACATGGTGTCACAGCTCACAGCAACCTCAAGCTCTTGGGCTTAAGTGATTCTCTTGCCTCAGCCTCCCAAGTAGCTGGGATCACAGGTGCCTGCCACAACGCCCAGCTATTTTTGTTGTTATAGCTAGCGTTGTTTGGCAGGGCCAGGCCAGCTTGAACCCACCAGCCCCAGTGTATGTGGCTGGCCCCCTAACCTCTGAGCCACAGGCACCAAGCCTAGCAAAATATCTGATTTTTAAATGGGCAAAAGATCCGAATAAACAGTTGTCAGAAGACGTCCAAATGGCTGAGAGATACATGAAAAATGCTTAATATCACTAATCATCAGGAAAGTGCAAATCAAAATCACAATGAGGGGCAGTTGTAGAGGCTCGGGCCTATAATCCTAGCACTCTGGGAGGCCAAATAGGGAAGATTGCCTGAGGTCAAGAGTTCTAGACCACCCTGAAAAGAGTAAGACCCCCATCTCTACTAAAAATAGAAAAAATTAGCTGAGCATGGTGCTACAGGACTATAGTCCCAGCTTCTTGGGAGGCTGAGACAGAAAATCACTGGAGCCCAGGAGTTGGAGGTTGCCATGAGCTGTGATGACACCATTGTACTTTAGGTAGGGCAACAGCTATTGCAAGGATCAAAAAACTAAAAATGGGGCAGTGCCTGTGGCTCAGTGAGTACGGTGGCAGGTTCAAACCTGGCCCCAGCCAAACTGCAAACAAACAAACAAAATAGCAGGGCATTGTGGCGGGCACCTTTAGTCCCAGCTAGTTGGGAGGCTGAGGCAAGAGAATCGCTTAAGCCCAAGAGCTGGAGGTTGCTATGAGCTGTGGCGCCACAGCATTCTGCCAAGGGCGACAAAGTGAGTCTCTGTCTCTGAAAAAAAAAAAAAAAAAAAAAGCACTATCATGATCCAGCAATTCCACTATGGGGCATACATCCAAAAAAGGAACTCCATATATATCAGAGATATCTGCACTCCCATGTTTATTACAGCACTGTAATAGGTAAAATATAGAAAGTGCTCATCAATGGATGGATAGAGAATGTGGTATATATATATGCAATGGAGCATTATTCAGTCATTTAAAAGAATGAAATCTTGCCTGGGTGCAGTGGCTCACAAGGCAGGTGGATAAGCAAGAGACCCCATTTTTACTAAAAATAGAAAAACTAGCCAGTTGTAGTGATGGATCCTGTAGTCCCATCTAAGGGAGGCTGAGGCAGGAGGATGACTCAAGCCCAAGAGTTTGAGAAGGCTGTAAAACATGAGGCCATGACATTCTACCCAGGGCAATAGAGTAAGACTGTTGTCTCAAAAAAAAAAAAAATGAAATCTTGTCATTTGCAGCAAGATGGATAGAACTTGAGATCATTATGTTAAATAAGCCAAGGACAGTAAGACAAATAATGTTTTTACTCATATGTAGGAGCTTAAAAAGGGAATCTCATGAAGATAAATAGATTGGAGGTTACCAGAGGCCAAGTAGGAAGAGGGGTGAAGAGGGGCTGATTGATCAGTAGGGTGACTATAGTTAATTGATTATACATTGTATATTAATAGTGAATAATAATCTATTATACATTTCAAAATAGCTGAAAGAATAATCTGAATGTTCCTGGCATAAGGAAAAGATACTTGAGCCCAAAAGTTTGAGATTACGTGGCTAGGACCCCATAGCACAGTGGTTATGGTGCCAGCCACATACATGGAGACTGGAAGGTTCCAACCCAGCTGGGGCCAGCTAAACAACAACTGCTACAACAACAACAACAACAAAATTGTGGCAGGTGCCCCTAGTCCCAGCTGCTTGGGAGGCTGAGGCAAGAGAATCACTTAAGCCCAGGAGTTTGAGGTTGCTGTGAGCTGTGATGCCACAGCCCTCTACCCAGGGTGACATAGACTCTGTCTCAAAAAAAAAGTTTGAGATTACAGTGGGCTATGATCACATCACCCTACTCCAGTCTGGGAGACAAAGCAAGACCCTGTCTACAAAAGGAAAGGAAAAAGATAAATATTTTAAGTGGTAGATATACCAATCCATTACTCCAATTTGATTATATGAATTTATCAAGTTATATGTACCCTGAAAATTTTTAAAAATAGCAAATACTGTATGTTTAAAAAAAAAAAAGGCTCAGTGATTATGACAGAAGCCACATACCACTTAGGGTGGTGGGTTTGAGCCTGGGCCAGCTAAGCAAGCAACAATGACAATTGCAATGAAAAGGGGTAACTGGCGGGCGCCTGTGGTTCCAGCGAGGCTGAGGCAAGAGAATTGCCTGGGCCCAAGAGTTTGAGGTTGCTGTGAGCTATGGCACCACAGTACTCTACCGAGGACAACTTAGTGGGACTCTGTCTCAAAAAAAAAAGAGATGGTTTTCCAGAGGGAAAGGGAAGAGAATCTCAGAAGGGTGCACCCTGTTTCTTGGGGAAACTACAACTAAAATAGGAGTAGAAAGCAGGGAATGTGTGCCAACAGAATTAAAGCTAAACCCACAGAGGCAAGGACTGGTAGGTCCTGGCCGCACTATGCTAAGGAGTTTCTCTTATCCTGGGAGCAGTGAGAAGCAGCGTGATCAGATTTGTAGTTTAGAAAGATCACTCTGGCCACACTATAGAGAATGACTTGGGGTAGGACTATTTGGAGACTTGCAAATAATATTTCAGGCAGAATGCGAAGAAGGCTTGAACTAGGGCAATGGAGGCTGAAGAGATGAAGACGTGCTTGAAAAAGTTTAAGGAGATAGAATCTGTACCACTTGTTTGCCATCTGAATGAAATGAAAGGGGAGGTGGTGTCAGAAGTTTCTCCGCTATCCAGCTTTGAGACATATAATGCAAAGTGCTGTGGAGGGGTGCTTAAAGTTCGGCCTAGGGCCGCTGGGAAGTGACATGTAAGTCCGGAACCATTTGGTCTGGGAATCACTGTTCTAAAGAGAGAAGACTGAAAGAAAAGAGGAACTACAATTACAGGTATTCTTCTTGGACGTTAACATTAAACCCATGGACCATCTCCAAAAGTCGTGCCTGTGTTCTCCGGGAACGTTGTGAAACTCGGCTTCCGCCCGACCCCACCGAACGCTCCGAAGGGGAATCGCCGCTGGGCCAACAGAGGGCGCCAAGCGGGCCGCAGCGACCCAGAGCCGCGTCATGGCCACGGCAAGGGTGCAGCTGCTCCTGTCCGGGCGTCTGGAGTCGGTGAGCTTCGCACAGAGTGTGTGTGGTCTCCTGGGCGCTGGGTCAGGACCCGGGCCGTGGACCGCGCACTGCAGCCTGCAGCGAGGACGCATCGTGCTCTCGGACAGGCCATTCCCTGGCGCCTCGGCTCGGCTTCCGCTCCAGGTCGGAAGGGCTCCGGCAGGGGGAAGGGCAGGGCGGCGTGGGGAGTGGACTGGGACGCGGCCTCCTCCCGCGCTGCCTGGTGTCGCCCAATATTTGAAAGTCCCGCCCGCCCACTCCAGCCCCTCTTCAAAAGCCTTACCCAGGTGGCTCCCTCCCGCCAGCGATCCGCTTTCTGCCCTTTTGCGGCCCTTGACCAGCAGCCCAGGGTGCCCAGGGCCGAACTG